TATCACTATGCCACCCTGTACGACAGAGACAAGAGGATTCCAGTGTACTCTGCTTACATCTACCACCCTGGATCAGGAAGCAGATCTAAGTCATGGTATGCTGAGCCTCAGGTGGGTGTCTCTCTTACAGCACATCACCCTCCAGCCACTGAGAAATGAGCTGCAGCATTCAACCCAACTTTTCTATTTCCTCCCACTTCCCTTACACACATGCACACATGTACACATGGACACATTGGACATGATTCTCTTCACTGAACTTCAAACATCTTCATCACATGATTTCTCTGACGCATCTGAGACATCAGCAGGATCATGAGATGAATCACATCCCCAAGGTGCCCAGCTCTCTGCCTTCACCTGTCAGGAACAGCAAATCCCATTACTTGGCATGACATGACAAAGTCAAATGCTTCCCCTGCCTGTGCCCTGCTGTGCTGGGTGCCCAAGTGATGGGGAAAAGGCATCCAGGAGAGGCTAAACTTGAGGGACCAACAGTCCTGCTGGGATCTGATCCCCACTTTGCCCTCAGCTGTTCTGCATCCCTGACAGAGCTTGTCTGCTCCCAGTGAAGAGTCAAACAGGCTTTGTGATTGGTGTGATAGAAGTGAAGAGAAACTCAGAAGGGGGTGAGATGGCCCAGGAACAAAGCCTGGAGGGAAAAGGCACTGGAGATGAGAGGGCCAGGTTAACTGTGCAGGGATTTCTGGAGTGACATTTCTGGCACTGCAATGTGAGGAGCATCAGTGTTGGTCCAGTCACAAGGGTGTGATCTCCATCCATGGGCAGTGACCCCTGAGCACCTTTGGCTCAGGCTTGGTCCAGAAGGATCCAGCAGATGGACAGAACTGCACAAGCTCTAGAGGAGACAAATCTCCTTCAAGAAAAACTTCAGTAAGACAGGCCAGGCCTGGCCAATTAAGGAACAGAAGAACAACAAATTCTGGACCTTTCTAGGAGCAGTATAGGAGGAGAGTTTTTGGTGAAAATGTGCAAGATCATAATGTCCCATTCCAGAGGAAGGCTAAATATGCTTCCCTAAAAATGAACAACAAGGTGTTGAAGTTATGAAAAAAATAACCATTTGTACTTGTTACTCACATGAACGTGAGGAACTAATTTGGTCTTGCACCACTGCAGCCTCCTCGTTAGGGAGGGATAAAAACTTCTGTCTTTTTGTAGAATCATAGAATCATAGATGGTTTCTGTTGAAAGGAACCTTAAATATCATCTCGATCCAAACCCCCCGCATGGGACAGGCCACATGCCACTAGACCAGCATGCTCCAAACCCCTCACTGGCCTTATGTTCCTAGACCCTGGACACAGGATACCTGAAAAACCTTGGATTTTGGTCACTTTCTCCAGAGGCATTTTTGGAATATTTAGTTTTCAGAGGAGTCTTTTGGGATTACAGCCTCCTCTCAAAAGCTGATGTTTTTTATTTTCATATCAATGATGCTGCAGAAAATTCTCCCTGGCCCAGATCAGCTCTGAGATACATTCCCAGCACTGCTGGAACAGATTCCATTCACAGTGAGATCTTTTTGCTTACTGAGCAAAACTGTTCCTCCTTGAATGAACTGTAGCCCTCCCAGGGAAACCTCAGCTCCAGGACTGATTTCCTGACACATCTCCCTGTGTATGGGGTTACAGGAGGCAAGCTCTGGTGTTCCAGGACTGGGGTACACCTGTAGCAACCCCACATAAAATCACAGAATCACAGTGTGGTGTGAGGGGATCCAGGGAGAGCCCAGGGCAGATTTGGGCTCTGGAGGCAGGAGGAAAGGGAAGTAGATTTGGCAGGGGAGGTGAATCACCAAAGTCACCTTTCAATCCTAGGAGTGGGAAATGCTCCTTGTCTCGTGCATCCAACCATGCTCCCAGCACGGGCTGCAGGCTGGATCACAAAGGTCACAAGTCAAACTCAGAGCAGTCCGAATCTGACCTACTTCCTCTTTAAAGCTTTTGTGTTCATGTGGGTTGGTCCATGTGTATGATTTCTCTCAGATTCATATATTTTCATACACTGAGATGACAATAAATGGAATTTTGAGCATCAGAGCCTTCTGCTCCAGGATAATCTGTTTCATTACATGCATCCTCAGTACTGACACCTTTTCCCCTTCTTACCCTGTCAAGCTGATCAACCCAGCTTATTCCAGGGATATAGATACAGAGATGTCCATCCGTAATCAATACAAGATCACTCTACAGCAAATTGGCCAGAGTCAGGCTATCAACCAAGACTACAACAATCTCCATGGTTTGGACCGTGGTCATTTGAGCCCCAATGGCCACCAAAGTGGCAACAACAGCAAGTGGGCGACCTTCACCCTCACCAACATTGTGCCCCAGAACAGCACACTCAACAAGGGCCAGTGGAAAGACTACGAGAACCAAACGATGGCTCAGAACACCCAGGGCTGTACAACGACCTACGTGATCACGGGTGCTGTGCCTGGGAACGCCTACATCTCCAATAACAGGGTTAATGTGCCCAGCCACATCTGGTCGGCTGCCTGCTGCCAGACCACAGCCAACAGGAGGACTTGGGCGGTCATTGCTGGAAACAACATGAACCGGGTGCAGAACCTCACAAGGGCACAACTGGAGGCCAACTTGACCCAGCTCTATGGGAGGGGACAGGTTTCTCTGTTCCACAGTGCCTGTCCACCCTAACGAACCTCATATCCTGAGTGGAAAAGGCTCATGAGCTTTTCCCACATGCCATTAGAATCACAGAATTCTTTGTGTTTTATGGGACTTCAAAGATCAACTTGTTCCATCCCTTTCCCTTTGCAGTGACACCTTCCACTACACCAGGTTGCTCCAAGCCCCATCCAACCTGGCCTTGAACACTTCCAGGGATGGGACAGCCACAGCTTCTCTGCTCACCCTGTGACAGGGCCTCACCACCCCCTCAGTATAGAATTTCTCCCTAACATCTCATGTAACCCTGCCCTTTGTCAGTGTGAAACCATTCCCTCTTGTCCTGTCACTCCATGCCCTTGTCCAAAAGCCCTCTCCAGATCTCCTGGTGAACTTCTAGGTAGTGGAAGGGGATTGAACTTCTCTCCACAGCCTTTTCTTGTCAAGGCTGAACACACTCAGCTATCTCAGCCTGTCTCCAGAACAGAGATGTTCTAGACCTTGAAACATCTTCGTGGCCTCCACTGGACTCTACTCCAGTATATTTTTAGTCCTTCTCTTGTTGTGGGCACCAGACCTGGACACAGCACTCCAGGTGCAAGGACAAGATTTTGGAAAACCTGCTCTAGATGACCCTCCTTGACCAAGGATATGGACTAGAAGATTTTGAGTGGTCCCTCCCACACTCAACAATTCAGTGATAATGTGATCCTGAGACATGCTTTTGTTTGCTTGCTTTTGAAACTGTACCTTGAGAGCAGCACCTGTGGTATCAGACAGGCAGGATGAGGCATTAGATACAAAGGAAGCTTTGAGCAGCCAAAGATAAACTTCTGTGATGCACTGTTTGGATACCTTAATTCTCTGCCCTGCTTCTGAAGCTCTTCTGCAAAATTACAGGGAACTGATTTGGGGAAATATGTTCAATGTATTCAATGTATTCAATGTATTCAATGTATTCAATGTCATAATCAAAAGATCATCACAGGACAGATCATTTACTACTTGAGTAGTTCACAATAAAAATTATTTGCTGCAGTGCTGGTTTGCAGGGTCATCTCATGTATAAACCACAAGTTCCTTCTTGCTGAAATTTCTACTACCAATAATGTCACAGTTCCCCAGACATCAGTGCTATTTGAGGCTGAAAGACATCCCAGTACCTCGGGGGCTGCCTCTGATTTGCTCACTCACCTCTGCACACTGGCTGGGGCTTGAGACCACACTCATCCTCATTCCTGCTCATCCCATGTCCACTGCTTCAGCTTTCCAGTCTCTGGAACTATGAGTGATTGACCAACCCCATGAATCCCACTTCCATCACCTCCTTGGGCTGTCCTGGGGACCTTTAACCCTGGCAGTACCCAGAAATGTTCTGTCCTCAACAGCAAGCTTGTGAAATACTTGGGAAGCCAAAAAGAAGAAGGAATCAGTTTCACAGAATTACTGAATGATGGAATTCAAGGTTGAAATAGACCTTGAAGGTCATCCTGTCACACCATCCCCTCAGAACTACCACTGTAAACCTTAAACCACTAATCCATATCACCCAGTGCCAAATCCAAATGCCTCTGAAACACCTCCAGGGATGGTGACTCCAGCACCTCTCTGTGCAACCTTTTCCACTGTCTCACAACATGACAGTTAAAAGTGTTTTTTCTAACATCTAATATGAATTTCCCCCGTCTCATCTTAAAGCCTTTTCCTCTAGTCCTCTCACTACTGGCATGGTAGAAGAGACCAATTTCAACCTCATTACAACCTCCTTTCAGGCAATTGTAGAGTGCCCTGAGCCTGCTCTTTTCGAGACTAAAATCTAATCCTAACATCTAATCTATCTCTGCCTTCTGTCAGTTTAAAGCTGCTCCCTGTTGTCCTGTCACTCCAGACCTTTCTCAAAAGCTCCTCTCCATGTGAACCACTCTCAGGTACTGAAGGAGCTCTAAGGTCTCCCAGAGCCTTCTCAGCAGAAGGCTTTGCATGAATAAGGGTTCTTACAAAGCCTTTGCAATCAGGCAAGGGAAAATATGCAGCCTGACCCTACTAATTGTGTTCTGAGAGGCTGCAGAAGAGCAGACTGTGAACATCTGGGTGTACTCAGAGACAGGCCAGTCAGTCTAATGCCACAAGAGATGTTCTGCCAGGAACAGAAACACATGTAGGTCCCCGTTCGTGGGGAATGAGGAAATGAACAGATCAGTCACCAGACCCAGTTATTTTCTCCTGACACATGATGCTGCAAGAACCTGGGAGAAATCCTGAGGAAATTGCAAATAGCAACTGTCACCCCACTTCAGGGTGGTCATGAACAAATCTCCTTGAATAATAACAGAAAACCTTTCTTTTCAGTGAAATTCCCTGTTTATGACAACGGGCAGATTTATGACCAGGTATACATTGCACTGGGACTCCTGAGGGATCAGCCAAGTGTTTCTCCAGGGAGAAGAAGAAAGGAACTCTTCAGCTGCCTGTTCTGAGACTCTGCTTCAAGGTAAGCTCTTGCTCCTTTCTCACCATTTACTCCAATATTTAAAGAATTACCTGAGCTTTGAAATAAATATATATAGGCAAAGCCTAGGTCAGAGTTGCTGAGTTCCAACATCTGCTCTCCAAGGAGCAAGGAGAGTTAATGCATGCACTGAATTTTGCAGCTCTTTAACACTTTCTGTAAAGGAGGACAGAAGGAATAATTTGGGAAAGAAACTCAAGCCAAGTCACCTGGAAAATTAACACCAAACTGTTCAGTAAGAAGGGGGGGTGAGTTTATTGAGCACTTAAACTCCACCCATGACCTTGCAAGAGGCCTCTGGACAAACACAGGTGGCTGAACTCCTGGACAAACTCTCTCTAAACACTGTGGGAAATCTAACAACTCTGCCTACTTGGAGATCATATAGACCCAGCCAGTCTGAGACTGCAGCAGAGGCATTTGAGACTCCTCTGCCACTTTGGGGCTCGAGCAGAATCCTGTGCCGCTCTTTCCCACGGTAGGCTGCTTTCTGTATATCTGATATTAAGTTAGACATTAAGTTAGTTAAATATATCTTAAGCATGTGGAGGGGGTCATACAAAAAGACTTTTCAGGAACTTCTCTACTTGATTTGGGGCAGCTTTGGGCATGTTCTGCAGAGTACTGCAAAAAGTCACCATTTGTTGTTCCTGTTCTTAGTTTCCAGCTTACTGATCCAGGGTTGCTAAAGAGAAAATGGACCAGATGTCTTGCATCAGAGCCAAGGGTATATGTAGCTTAATACCCCAATGTCAGCTGAGAGGCAGGACCCCAGGTGGATCATTTGGGGTTCAGTATTGGGTCTGAGTGGAAGAGCTGAGTGTCTGTGTGAACCTGGATGGGGCCAGAGAGCTGTAGGAAGTGCAGCATTGCTGTTCTTTGCCTGCCCAATGCCCCATGAGATTAAAGCCCAGCTCAGCATGGCAGGGGCTGAGCAGAGTCCGTGCCCAGGTGCAGGTGTCTGCTGTGGGAAGGTGCTGAGAGCAGGAGGGAGTGAGAATGGCCTGAAACTGAGTCAGGGAAGATTTAAGCTGGATATCAGGAAGAAGTTTTTCACCCAGAGGGTGGTTGAGCCCTGAAACAGGCTCCCCTGGGAAGTGGTCACATCACCACACCTGCCTGAGTACAAAACGTGTTTGTACAAAACTGTCAGGAACATGGTTGGCTTTCTGGGGCTATCCTGGGCAGGGCCAGAAGTTGGACCCAATGATCCTGATGAGTCCATTCCAACTCAGCATGTTATGTGATTCTATGAGATCATGTTTGGAAGTAGGGGCTTCCCAGCCCTGTTTTGTCAAAGGGTTTTTTTCTCCAGTGCCAGTGCAAAGCTGAGCTCTGAGCTCAACTGAAATAGGCTGGAAAAGGTGACCTTGTCCCAGTGCCATATCTCAGTTCCATGATAACTTTGCCATGAGAGCTGTTTAGGCATTTGGTGAGTTTGGAACACCCCTCAGACAGACTATGCCCCCACCATTGCCACCATCCTCTGGGAACCTAAAACCTATTTTAGATTTCATCCTCTCATGTGGAAAAGGGAGATGTTCTCAAACCTTCAGTGTGTGTTCAGTCTGTTACTGACACATGAAAGCCAAAACCCTTCTCAGCCTGTTGGTGTCCTGTGGTAGGGACCCTTCACTGACCAGTTCTCTGGGTTGGAAGGTTTGACTGACTTGTTCAGGGTCACACACCAACCAGAGAAAGCCCTCCTGGGTCTCCACACCTTTGCCCACTGCCAGAAACTGCCAGTGCCCCTGGAGAACTCACTTTAACTCTTTACAGAATAACACTATTAATAAAACTGTGACAGGTTGAGGTTTGAGGCTTGCCAGTGAAAGTATCTGACAGCAAAGAGATATTCAAAGTGAGATGTTAATTCAGAACAACATACTAAGAAGCTTTAATCCCTAGCAAAAGCTGGCTCGAGGTAATCATTCAGCATGCTTAAAGTAGGATTCTTACCCAATAGGCATGTCTAAGGGAGAGAAGGCAGGTTCAGCCCATCAACTGACCCCAGAAGTTACAATGCAGTCTTCCATAACTTCTCTCCATTTTTAATTCACTTTTATACTATTTCTTTACATTTAGATGATGTTTGCATGTAGTCATACATCTTTCTCAGTGAGAGGTTCTCATGCCTTGAGGGTGAATATCTCAGTAAAGTACCTGCAGTAACCTTGGGATGGGGATGTGCATCAGTCCAAGGTGAGGAATTTTGCCATGGTTGCTGATTCCGCAGCAGGAAATCTTCATTTGTCTCCCATGGTTTTCAGTTGTCACACAGATTATCAGCTAGAAAACGTCACCAAGGTGTCTCCTCTGCAAGGATTTTGACAGAGCCTGGCCATGGTGTCTCCACTCCACCTGCTGTTTAGGCCCACCTTAGATTTAGTCCTCCTTGTGTGTGGGAGGCCAGGTATGCTGACTGTGTTTCATCCAGGGAAGAGCAACTGTATTTTCTCCTGTAACACTATCCTTTTATCCGCAGTCATCTCCCTGCACAACCCCACAGCACTGATGATTTTTCCAAATCCAGGAGGACAGAAGTTACCCTCTCCTTGGTCTCTCATAGTCCCCTCTGCATTTGCCTTCCAGGGGAGCAAGAGCCCTTCACTGAAATCCTGCCACCATGCTGGGGCTGCTGCTGCTGCTGCTGCAGGTGTTGGCCAGCTGCCTCTGGCTGGGACACAGCGAGGTGGTCAAGTCCTTTGAAACTTCATGTCCTCAGTTTTTTTTCCGGGAGATCCCCCCGAATGATGCCCTGGAGCCACAGAACCCAGCCTGGATCTGTCAGCGCTACAAGAACCAGTATTACTTTGCCACCCTGTATGACAGGAAGATGCGTATTCCTGTCTACTCTGCTTACATCTACCAGCCTGGACCGGGAAAAAGACCTAAAATTTGGCTGGTTGAGCCCCAGGTGGGTGTCTCTCTTACAGCACATCACCCTCCAGTCATTAAAAGCAATATTGAAATAACCATTTCTATTTTGTTCCAACCCACTATACACATGCAAATGAACACACTGGACAGGATTCTCTTCACTGAACTTCAAACATCTTCATCACATGATTCCTCTGATGCATCTGAGACATCAGCAGGAGCATGAGATGAATCACATCCCCAAGGTGCCCAGCTCTCTGCCTTCACCTGTCAGGAACAGCAAATCCCATTACTTGGCATGACATGACAAAGTCAAATGCTTCCCCTGCCTGTGCCCTGCTGTGCTGGGTGCCCAAGTGATGGGGAAAAGGCATCCAGGAGAGGCTAAACTTGAGGGACCAACAGTCCTGCTGGGATCTGATCCCCACTTTGCCCTGAGCTGTTCTGCATCCCTGACAGAGCTTGTCTGCTCCCAGTGAAGAGTCAAACAGGCTTTGTGAGTGGTGTGATAGAAGTGAGGAGAAACTCAGAAGGGGGTAAGATGGCCCAGGGACAAAGCCTTGATGGAAAAGGCACTGGAGATGAGAGGGCCTGGTTAACTGTGCAGGGATTTCTGGAGTGACATTTCTGGCACTGCAAAGTGAGGAGCATCAGTGTTGGTCCAGTCACAAGGGTGTGATCTCCATCCATGAGCAGTGACCCCTGAGCACCTTTGGCTCAGGCTTGGTCCAGAAGGATCCAGCAGACAGACAGAACTCCAAAACCAACAGAGATCTCCCAGATGTCCTTCAGTCAAACTTCAGAACTTTAGGAAAACAGGCCAAGGAAATAATAGGTACAAAAAGAGGAAATTCATGTCATTGCTAAGGACAGAGGGGCAGGATTGATTTAGGTGAAAATGAACCACAGAAGAAACCCATATGCAGTGTTCCAAAGGAAAGCTAAATATAAGGCACTAAATGTGAAATTAATTTCTGAAAAAAAAAAATTGCAGTTTGATTGCACTTTGAGTTCCTCATAGGAACTCAAGCAACTAATCTGGTATTGTACCACATCAGGAGCAGACAAAAAAGAGGATCTTGACACTCAGAGACTTCTGCTCTAGGGAAATCTGTTCAGTTATGCTCATCCCCAGTACTAACACCTTTTTCTCTTTATTTCCTGTCAAGCTGATTGGCCCAGCTTATCCCAAAACTATGGAAAAAGAGTGGACAGTCTTAAATCAATACAATGTCACCTTAGAGAAACTCAGCCAGAGCCAGGCTATCCTTCATGACTACAAGAACCTGACAGGTTTGAACCGGGGCCATTTGAACCCTAATGGCCACCACGATGACTACAGCAGCAGGGTGGCCACCTTCACCCTCACCAACATAGTGCCCCAGGATGAGAAACTCAACGGCGGCGCCTGGAACAACTACGAGCAGCAAACGATGATCAGGAGAACCCAGGGCTGTAAAACCACCTATGTCATTGTGGGTGCTGTGCCTGGGAACAACTACATTGCCAAGGGGAGGGTTAATAAACCCAGCCACCTCTGGTCAGCTGCCTGCTGCGTGGTGGACAACAACTACATAAAGGCTTGGGCGGTCATCGCTGAGAACGACAGGAACCAGGTTGAGCTCCTCACCCTGGGAGAGCTGGAGGACACGTTAACTGAGCTCTATGGGAGGGGACAGGTTTCCCTGTTTGACAGTGACTGTCCCCGAGAATAAGCCTCACATCCTAGCTGGAACAGGCTCAGGAGCTTTTGCCATATGTCACAGAATCACAGAAAGGTTTCGGTTTCAAGGAATTTCAAAGACCATCCCTGTAGTCTCAGCTCCTGAGCCATGGGCAGGGACACCTTCCACTATCCTTGGTGGCTCCAAGCCCTGTGCTAGTAAGTTTCTTTGTTATGAAATTGTGGTGTTATAAGTTCAAATTTGTTTGTTCCAGTTGTCCCCCATACATATTGGTTTGTCCCTGAGCAATGTCCACCCATTCCCCTGTCTATCTTCCTAAAGACCAACCCCTTATTCCAGAGTCTTTCCTGCCACTCAGGGAGACCCTGCCCTCCTCCTTTGTCCATCACAGAAATCCCACCTTTGTTTCCAGAAACTTCTGTGTCCATCCTGGATCCCTGGAATGCCTATTGGTCTGCTTGGCCTGCTCTCCTCCCCTGTTGTGTCCCACTGGATGCCATGATGTACACCCCACCTTGTGCCCCCCCCCAGGTGTCTCACCATTGGTCCAAGTTTGTATCCTCCCCATGTTCCCTCCCCCATACTTATGATGCTGTTACCCTGTTGGAACTGTCGCTTGTTCCTGGATCCTGTCAGATTAAAGCATTTTGAGAACCTATACAAGTGATCCCTCTCTTTTCCTTCACTCTGGACTCCTTGACTCAGGATTCTAGCAGCAGCTGCACAGAGCAGCTTTGGTGCCTCTGAGGGTGAGGCAGCCCTGCTTTACTGACACCCAGCGTGGGGCAGACAGGGGGCAGCCACTCTTGGCACGGGCCAGGAGCTTGGGCTAGCTGTGGTCATCTCCAAGTGGTCAGCCTGTGTCACTGTCCAACCTGGCTTTGAACACTTCAGGGATGGAGCAGTCACAACTCTTTTGGACAACCTATGCCAGGGCCTCACTATTCTCACAGTAAAGAATTTCTTCTTAACATTTAATTTGACCCTGTCTGCTTTCAATTTAAATCCATTCCCTCTTGTCCTGTCACTCCATACCATGGTCCAAAGTCCCTTTCTCATTTAAAACCATTTAGATACTATAAGGTGTCCAAATTCTCCCAAGAGTCCTTTCTCCAGGCTCCCTCACCTTCAGCTCTCTCACTCTCTCTCCAGAGCAGATGTGCTCCAGGTCTTGGAGCATCTTTGTGGCCTCCTCTGGACCCCACTCCAACAGCTTTGTCACCTTCTTCTGTTGTGGATCCCAGAGCTAGAGGCAGCCCTGCAGGTGAGGACTTATCAGAGCAGAATAGATGGGGACAAATGGACTGTAGAAGGGAGCAAGACAACCCAAGGCTCCCAAAGACCTCTGATTCATTTCCAGGGAGGTCTAAGAGAGCAGACTTCACACGATATTTATGTTACATTAGGAAGTGAGAAACCTGTTTTCAGGTCAGGAAAATTCATATATAAAAGGATACCCTCTGCCACTTGCTTATAGAGTAGTTTAGGGACTAACATAACAATTTCCATGACAAGTGTGTAATTTACTAATAAAACTTTGTGGAATTTTACATATCTTCTGATTTTTGTTGTTCCTTTTGACCATGGACATTTAGGGATCTTGGGGGGAGTCCCTTTTCCTTGAAAATGGTTTTGTGGGCAAATGGGAGCTTCAGGCAAAGGTTAATAGAGAAACTTTCCTGTTGAGTCATGAGCTGCAGAAAGGACTCCCTGGCTTGGTAAACTCCTTCTCAGGGAACTGGATCCAATCTTAGCCCCAGATTTTGTCAATTGTTTCCATCTAGAGGATTATATAGATGTAATTGAAACTCTATACAACTTGTCCTACAGGTTTGAGGATTGCAAATTATGCATATTTATGTAATTATATATGATTTAGGATTATAATGATAAGGCAAAAATATGTTAATCGGAATTATTTTTTAGTTCACAGTATGGAAACTATAGCTATTAGTATAATAGCGTGCTCTATGAAGCAATATGGAAGCAAATATATTAAAGCAGTTATATTAAAACCAGCAAAAACAATTAAATAGAGATCATGACCATGATTAAATTGTGACCATGATTAAATCTCGTTGGCTCAGCCTTGAGAGGTGATCTTGAGAGGCATCTCCACTCCAAGGAGGAATCTCCACACACACACTCCAGGAGGGTGTGTGCCGGGTGTGCAAGAGCTAAAGGGAGCAAAAGCCAGTCTCTACTTCACATCAACAACAATGTTCAGACACTTCCTGGGAAGCAGGGCACAATTCCTCTAGAAGGGCCAGCATTGAAAACTCACACACACCCCTCCTTCATTCTCTCTCCCTTAGCTTATATATCTAAGCTGAAGTCATATGGTATGAAATATCCCTTTGGCTAATTTAGGTCAGCTGGCCTAGTTGTGTCCCCTCCCAGGATCTTGCCCACTCCCATCCTCTTTGATGGGGGAAGGAATGTCAGAGGGACGGTGTTGCTTTGCAGTAGCCAAAACACTGGTCTCTTATCAATACTGTCCAGCTACCAGCACAGCAATGTAAGGCCTCTGACCTTCACCTTGCTCAGTCCCAACACAGGCATTCACAATAAAGTTTACTTGCTGCAGTGCTGGATTGCAGGTTCACCTCATCTATAAACCACAAGTTGCTTCCCACTGAAATTTCCACCAGCAGTAAAGTCACAGTGCCCATCCTCGCAGGAGGTTCAGTGTCCAAACACAACCAGAGGATGCCATAACACCTGCAAAAGTGTCAGCATCACACTCCACATACTTCTACAACAACTGAGCATGTAAAAGTGAGTCAGGGTGCCAACAGGTCACACAAGATATCCCCATGGCTCCTGCAATGAGACTGTAACTTTGATGTCCTTACTCTTGATCCTTTGGGGGTGGGGTCCTGTGCAACAGAGTCCAGCGGGTTCTGTGAGTTGAGGATTATGTGGGGTTGCCCCACTTTTCCCCTGGGAAGGATTTTACACTGGGTCATGCAGCACTGTGGAGTTGGAGTGACACTTTGGAGGTCTTTGATGGTTTATGGCCCCTTCTAATGATGTGAGCACTGTTGGGCCCTATCAGAAAAGAGAAATTTGCCACACCTCCAGCAGATCTGCCTCTTCTTGACCTACTTTTCCCTCATTCTGGCTAAACTCCAGTTTGTTTAAGACATCAGTCCCAGGTTAACAGAGACAAAAGGAACCACAGGACTCAACCAGTTTGTTTAAACCACCTTTTCTCTAACACACTTCTGGATATTTCTAGTTGTACCAACAAACTCATTTTTCTATTATTCCTGGACTTTTGGAAACAGAAGAAAATGAGTCCAGTTTTGTTTGAGTGAATGAAAGGTCATTGAAACACAGAATATTTTGGGTTGGAAAGGACCTTAATGACCAGCTACCTCCGTGCCCTCCCATAGGCAGGGACACCTTCCACTATCCCAGGTTGCTCCAAGCCCCAGCCAGCCTGGCCATGGACACTTGCAGGGATGGGGCAGGCTCAGCTTCTGTGGGCAACGTGTGCTGGGGCATCACCTCCCCACAGTCACAAATACTGTCCTAATATCCAGTCTAAACCTTCACTCCTTCCATATCAAGCCCTTTCAGCTTGTCGAAAGCTGCGTCAAGGGAAATACAGGTTGGACACTAGGAAAAAGTTTTTCACAGAAAGAGTGATGAAGGTCTGGAATGGTCTGCCTGAGGAAGTGGTGGAGTCACCATCCCTGGAAGTGTTTAAAAAAAACACTGGATGTGGCACTCAGTGCAATGGTTTAGTTTAGATGTTGGGGCATGAGTTGGACATGATCATCTCGAAGGTCCCTTCCAACCAACTCATTCTGTGAATTCTGTGAATTCTGTCCCAAAGGTGTGGTTTAACCCCAGGCAGCAGCCACGCCCCACGCAGCCGCTCCCTCCCTCCCTCCCTGACCACCGGGAGCAGGGAGAGAACTGGAAGGGGAAAAGCTGGAACAATCCTGGGTGGAGATAGAGACAGTTTAACAGGGAAAGCAAAGGCTGTGCACACAAGCAAAGCACATCAAGGAATTCCTTCACCATTTCCCATGGATAGAAAGGTGTTCAGCCACCTCCAGGGGAGCAGGGCCCCTCACACTTACCTGGGAAGACAAAAGCCAGCTACAAAACCCACCACTCCAAATGCCCCCTCCTTCCTCCTCCTTCCCCTCACTTTATATCCTCAGCATGATGTCCCATGCTCTGGAATATGCTCTGGTCAGTTGGGCTCACCTGTCCTGGCTGTGTCTCCTCCCAAGCTCCCAAGTACCCCCAGCCTCCTTGCCAGCCTGGCACTACAAAAAGCACAAAAGGCCTTGGCCTGTGGAAGCTCTGCCCAGCAATACCAGAAACATCTCTGTGTTATCAACTCTGTGTTCAGCACAACTCCAAAACACAGCCCCACTCCTGCCACTGTCAAAAACATAAATCCTGAACCCAGCCCACCTATCAGCTCCAAGCCCTTGTGCAAAGTCTGTCTGCAGCTCTCCTGTAGACTCCTAAAGTACTTGCAGGTGCTCTGAGGTATCCCCAGAGCCTTCTCCTTCCCAAGCTGCTGGGATGGAGCTGTCACACAGCCATGGCAACCAGGCAAGAGAGTATGTGTAGCCTGGCCATGGGCATGATGTTCTGGGAGGCTGCAGAAGGGCAGACTGAATATCTGAGTGTATCAGAGTCAGGCCAGTCCATCCAATGTCCCCAGAGCTGTTCTGTGGGGAGCAGAAACACGTGTAGGTGCTGGAGCAGCAGCAGCTGCAGCTGCAGGGATTGAGGAAATGATCAAGGAAGCCACCAGACCCTGTTAGCTGACCCTGACATGCCATGCTGCAAGGCAGCAAATTTGGGAGAAATTCTGAGGAAACTAAAACAATGTCAACATCTTTCAGAGTGGCTGTGAACAAAATCCCTAAATAAAAATAGAAAACTTCTCTTTTCTGTGGAATTCACTGTTTACAAGAAAGGGCAACTTCATGACTGGGTGGATAGTTAACTGATCCTGACATACCATGCTGCAAGTCAGCAAAGTTGGGAGAAATTCTGGGGAAACTATAACAAACAACAGTCAGCACATTTCAGGGTGGGTGTGCACATACCCCCTGAATAAATATAGAAAACTTCTCTATTCTCTAGAATTCCTTGTTTATAACAAGGGGCAAATTTTTGAAAGGGTATATATTGCAGGTGCACTTCTGAGGATTCAAACACTGCTTTCTCCTGGGAGAAGACAGAAGGAACAGTTCAGCTGCCTGTTCTGAGACTCGGCTTGAAGGTAAGCCCCTTCTCCTTCCTCACCATTGATTCCAATATTAAAAATCTTTCCTGACTTTCTGGAATAAATGTACATATATGGACAAAGGCTGGGCTGGAGTTGCTGAGCTCCAAGGAGCAATCAGTGCTCATATATGCACTTTAATTTTGCAGCCATTTAGTGTTTTCTGTCAGTCAGGAGGGCAAGGACAGAAGGAAAGATTTGGGAAAGAAACTCAAGCCAACTTACCTGAAAATTAACATCAAACTGTTGAATAGGAAAGAAGGAGGAATTTATTGAGTACTAAAACTCCACCCATGACCTTGCAAAAAGCCTCTGGACAAACACAGGTGTGGTCTGAACACCTGGGAAAATTTACTCTGAACCCTGCTTGAGAAATCCCCCAACTGCCTCTTCCTAGAGAGTATATAAACCTAGAAAGTCTTGAGACTGCAGCAGAGGCATTTGAGACTCCTCTGCCACTTTGGGGCTGTGAGCAGAATCCTGTGCCACTCCTTCTCAAGGTCGGCTGTTTTCTATGAATCTGTTATATTAGATATTACCTTAGTTAGATTTATTTCAATCTCATGGAGTGGGTCATGCAGAAGGACTTTTCAGACCCTTTTCTGCTTGATTTGGGGCAGCTT